GAGCCTAGGGTAACTCTCTCTGTGGAGGGGAACCCCGTTAATTTCTTAGTAGATACGGGGGCGGAACACTCAGTTTTGACTAAACCGTTAGGGCCGTTAGGATCGAAACAAACCCTGGTCATGGGGGCGACTGGGAGCAAACTTTACCCTTGGACAACTGAAAGAAGTTTAGAAATTGGAAAAAGCCAAGTAACTCACTCTTTCCTTGTGATTCCTGAGTGCCCTGCACCCCTTCTGGGAAGGGACTTGTTGACCAAATTAAAGTCTCAGGTCCAGTTCACCCCAAATGGACCAGAAGTCACCTGGGGGGAAGCCCCTATGACATGCTTAGTTCTAAGTCTAGAAGAAGAATATCGCCTCCATGAACACAAAACTGGGTGTTTGCCCCCTAAAGAGTGGCTGACAGCTTTTCCAGAGGTTTGGACAAAGCAGACTGGAATGGGACTGGCTGAGCTAAAAGCAGCTGCCACCCCCATATCAGTCAGACAGTACCCCATGACTCAAGGGGCTAAAGAAGGCATTCGACCACATATCCAGAGACTGTTACAACAAGGTATACTGATTCCCTGCCGGTCCCCTTGGAATACCCCCGTCCTGCCGGTACGTAAGCCTGGAACCAATGATTATCGACCTGTCCAGGACTTGAGAGAAGTCAATAAACGAGTACAGGACATTCACCCAACCATGCCCAACCCTTACAACTTGCTGAGTTCCTTACTGCCTGAATGATCCTGGTACACCATTCTGGATTTGAAAGATGCCTTTTTCTGTCTCAGGTTACATCCGAATAGCCAACCCCTATTTGCTTTTGAATGGCGAGATCCCGAAGGAGGACATACGGGTCAACTGACCTGGACTAGGTTGCCACAGGGGTTCAAAAATTCACAGACTCTTTTCGAAGAAGTGCTCCACCGTGACCTTGCACCCTTCAGGGCATGGAACCCCCAGATTTCTCTCTTGCAGTACGTAGACGATTTACTGCTCACAGCCTTGACCCAGGAACTGTGCCTCGATGGGACCAGAAAGCTCCTAAAGGAATTGGGTGAGTTTGGGGAACCAAATGGCTGATCTAAAAGCAAAGCAAGCTGCCCAGGGAGTGGTAGTGCTGGCAGAAGAAACTGGAACCCCTCCAGAACCCCCACAAGCCAGCGTCATCCATCCCAGCTTCATCTATCCCTATAAAGATTATGATTTAATCAAAGATATGACCCGTGCTGGAAAAGCTCGGGTGTTCAGTTTCGGTGGACTGGCAAAACCAAAGATGGAAGAATCATTCTACCCTCTAAAGAAGGACAAGGCTATGTGAGACGAATACACCAGCTGACTCATCTTGGAAACGAAAAAGTTAAGCAATTAATCAAAGGTTCTAAATATTATGTTCTAGGATTAAATACAATACTAAAAGAGGTAATAGAGTCATGTCAAGCCTGCACCGTGACCAATGCTGCCCGACCGTTCAAAGAACCCGGAAAAAG